CAGCCCCTCACCCTTCGGGGTGAGACCTTCACCTAAGTTCGCTGGATGCTTTTGGACAGTGCACCTCCGCTTCGCAGAATGCCGCCATTGTCAATAGAATGTGCGGAGCCTGTTTTATTGCTTAAACGGCCCTGACAGTCGGCAATCGCAATGACTCGAGAGATGATGGCTTGATCAATGATGGTCGTGATGCTGAGAAGCGAGTGTCATGTTTCAGAGTGGGAGGAGCAATTCGGTGATGACTGATGACGCAACATCGAGAGAACGGGCTGGAGGTCAACGCTCATTGTGGGAATGATAATGTTGGTATTGGCAATGATAGCGAATGGTGAGAATGCTGGAGTCAACAGGGCAATGGTGATATATGATGGCGAACGCTGACAGTGACACTGACGCTGATGACGGTTGTCATGATGAGGATGGTATTTTGAAGAGGTGTAAGAATCTTCTGATGATAAGGATGGTTTTGGTTGTGTTGGTGTCGGTGGTGGCATAGTGAGGTCACGACAGGTACAGTCGTTATACCAATACCTAGCGAAAGTGCGATGGAAGTTTGAGAGGATGAGTTTCGGGCTTGGGAGCCAGAAACCTAAGCAACTGAGTTGGAGTTGCGACTGAGAATGTTTCGTGGCTTTCTCAGATAAGACCGGAAACCCTGACTTCGAAACTTGAACCAGAATTTGTACTTGTCCAGGCCACGGGAGGTTTCACCGAGCTGGTAGCAACGAGAACTGAAGACAGCACGAAGATGACAGAATGGATCAAATTTTGCTACAAGGGCAGAAGTAGTAAGAGCCTCTCGATGATGGTGCGATGGTGAAGATCATCATCATGAGCATCGTCATCATCATCATCATTATGATCCTATCGTGAACATTGATGTGCAGCTTGTAGCAACCGATGTCATCGGCATATCTTCGAAGCTACACGTTTCCGATATGGCGAGGGCCCCTGCGAAGCTGCACTGCCGACAGGGTTGAAGTGCATCAGAGAAGGTTCCTACGAGCCCACGAGGTTGCTGTTGCGACTCTGCGAAGCAGCGAGTATGGTATGGAGTTGATCTCGAAGAATGACCGTCATGATGGCTTTAGAGTAGCAATAACGAGCACAAAAGGCGAGGGAAAGGTAAGTCATCATCATCATGATCATGCTTAACATTTTCACGGTTATCATCGTCATCATCATCAGCACCAATATCAGCATCGGCATCATCATCATCATCATCGTCAGCATCGTCATCATCGTCAGCATCATCATTCTGGAGGTTGTGGTAGCAGAACCCGGTTAGCAACCTCCGCATGTCTCGCAGAGACTTCTCCATAATTTGTACCAGTGGTACCAATGCCGAACTTCCTCCCCCTTGTTCCGGGGAGCTCCTGCTAATGGCATAAAAAGATGCAGGTTTTGCCCTTTGGCTCAAAGAAAGAAGGAATTCTGGAGAATTGTTTGGCGGATCTGCGTCCCAGCCTTCGACCGACGCTTCTCAAGTTATGCGGGTTGAAGGGCGGCAGAGTTTGCAGCTTTCTGGGCTTCAGCCATATGCCTGATCATGAAGCTTTAAGCCCTTGCCCAAACTGAAGGGCCCAGCCAAACGTTGCTCCCAAAGCCTAAACTCCGTTGCTCGTTCTTTTTCTATACGGTTTTCTCTATACGGTAGAGACAGCGTGGCATCAGCCAGATAAGATACAGTCATCTCTCTCGTTTGATGCTCAGGCACGTACGGTCTGAAGCAAGTCGCAGCATCTTGACTAAACCGCAGCAGACCCAGTGTAGAGATTTCTACTCCAATTGCAGGGAGCATCAGCGCCGTCATAAAGGGCATCCGAAGCAGTTGTTCCTAGGGCGCTACTAAGCGAAAGCAGGCTCTAGCGAGCCCCAATGTCGGATCACGACCAGCACTGGCAGCAGCAACTATCATCCTCCAAATCATCATCATCATCATCATCATCGTGTGGGCTTCGGATCTCACGCCCGAGCATTGACAAGGTCATCGTCTATGACTGCACCGATGCCCACTCGCAGGCCCCACAGTATGAGGGTCTGGCCGTGAACTAACTCTCCCAGCCCTACGCACTTTGCCCCTAAACTATCTGCGGGGGCTGAGTTTCAAGGGATTACGATTACAAAGCTTTGAGAGCCTGCATACTTTGTAGCACTCTTCCCTCTTGAAGCGCATTCCAATCCTGCAAGGCCCATCTAAACCCGCAACCCAAGACCGTCAGAGCCGAAACTCTACAGTCGGCACCCAAGCTTCAGCTTGAGCTTCTTCGAGGGCAAAGGCTGAATCCAAATCCACTGCTTGGTGTGACGTTGGGTTTAGGGTTTTAGGCTTTAGGGTTTAGGGCTTCTCACGCCGAGAACCCAAAGACACAGCTGACATCATAATTCGCATCCCCAAACACGCAACCTCTTGACCTCGTCTTGCAAAACTCAAAGGCCCCCAAAGCCTGGTGTGTGTTTATGTGTATATATATATATACACACACACACACACACACACACACTTGTATGTGTATATATAGAAAAACACACACACACATATATATATATATATATATATATATATATATACGCACGCTTGTGTATAATTATGTGTCTAATATCTACACATAAATATACATGTATGTATGTGTTTATCTGTACAGGTAAAACCTTTAAGCTCTAAAGCCTATGCTAATGTTAGCCTACGACCATGCAGCCTCCTTGGTAGGCCTCAGTGGACTATTGGGTCCAAGAGCTGCAGAACAAGGCGGCGGTGGAAAGGATTGACTAAGGATTGAGGGTTAAGCGTTCGGCGATGTGATGTAACATCCCAATGGAGCACCCAAATATGCACTTTTCAATCGAATATTCCGGACCACCGGGCCGATAATTTCTAGCAGTGTTATTTGGGTCCGTCGCGGTAAATCTTTCTGGTTTCGACAGTGTGTGATGTTTATGTTCTGGGTAGTTTCATGCAGATTTGCGGGGCCTCTCCGTGATCGGGGTTTCAGGGATGAGATGCTCGTTTATATGACTAATATGATAGTAGACTTTAGTATACTATACTTCAATAGACTAAGATGAATCTACTACAATAAAACTTACTATAACCTGCTACATGATAGAACATGTACTACATAATGCTTCCGCGCAGGGCCCGGCCAGATGTTGCATGGCTGTCGCAGCCAACAAGCCCGTCACCCAGGGTTTTTGGGGTTTAGGGTTCAGGACTTCAGCTGCTGTCTGGCCACTTTTACCTTACATACGAGCCCAAGGACGAGGGTGGTTTTGACGGGGGTTTGTGAAGGCCGTTTCAGGTTTGCTAAGGTTTTTTTTGTGTGACTTTGTGGACAACGTGCTTCAGGAACAACGCAGCCCCGTTTCAGGTTTGCTAAGGAGTCTTGCAGGGAATGGCATTGCCCCATCATGGCGCATGACCTGGACTTTACGGAGCCCTACCGTCCGGGTTTGGGGTTGGGGGTGCAGGCCCCAATGCCAAGATACTGTTGCGGTTCGGCCAGCGGCTGGGCCAAAATGTCCTTGGTTTATGGTCTTGGACCCTAAACCCGACCTGAAACCCCACGCCCTACACCTGAAAAACCCCGGAACCCGAACCCTAAGTGGAAGGATTTTTCTTGCAGATGCCGGATAGCGGCGTGCACTGCTGTGACACCCAGGAGCGATGTCGAGCCTAAGGCGGTCGATCCCCAGGCAATGAAGGCCTGCGCTGTGGAGCTTTAGGAACTTTGGGGCTTTAGGGATTGCTAGAGTTTGGGGCTTCGGGCACTTTCGGGATTTTTCGTCTTAGAAAGGTTTTCATGACCCCTTGAGAGGTTGAGTTGTGTTTTATAACGTGTTTTACGGTTTTCAGGATGTTTAGGACTAAGGGATGCTGCTTGGGTTCCAGCGGTTTCGACCCTTCACGAAGTAATCGTCGACAGTGCTAAGGATCAAGGTCTGAAGGAACATGCACCGTCAAGGCTGTCGCTCCAGCTCCCCTCGTTTTGCTGCGACTTGTTGCGGATGCCTTAATATACCCTCGGTTCCTGCCGTTGCGCAGAGGTCCAGTGCATGCAAGTGGTTTGTCGGCAAGCCGTGGTAGGTACAAGCGGTCTGAATGGTCAGAACTACTGTTCCCTCATTAGACCCTATAGCTACCTAGCTACTAGCTAGCTGCTTGTCTATATACCATGGTGTTCCTTTATAGTCCCTACGATAGGGTATAATGGGCCCCAAAACCCAAGGAACCCTTCAAAGGGAACCCCATTCCAATTTGTAAGGCCCCTAGATGACACATTTGGGTGGTTGTCAAAATTAGGGTCCCTTGTTGGGTCCTTATCTTAGTACGGCGCCTAATATTTAGGGCACCCAAAAAAGGACCCTAATCTTGACAACCACCCATTTGTACGAGTCGGTTCCTCGATGCTGCAACTCCGGGGGCTGATGGCAGGCCATGTGCGAAGAGAAGGGTCTCCTTTTCGCCGGGGCCTTTGACGCCGTTTAGGGTTTAGGGCTTTAGGGTTTAGGGCCTTTATGTCGGGTTTAGGGGTTTACGAGATGTTTAGGGCTTATGAGGGCTTGAACAATTTCTGATATTCTTCGTCAGGGTTCCTTGTTGTACCTGTAGTATAATAGATCCCCAGACTCCGTTCTGGCTATTCAGACGTAGGGACGCTGGGCCTCTTCTGTGCTAGCAGCTCGCATTCAACCTCTGTGGTATATGCTCTGTCCCGGCCTTGCCGTTATCGTATCCCTTCGCATCACCCCATGTAAATGGCCTCCGAACCTTCTAATTAGCTGAAGCACGTAACCCGCCAAAAAAACTTAACATGACAACCCCAAAGCCCTCTAAATCAAACCTTACAATGACGTTATAAAGTATTGCCGTGATGATCTAGTGAACCCAGCAGCAGGCGGCTTGCTTGGCCAGCTCTGCTTCAAGCAGCAGTTTGCATCTTAAGACCTCTAAACCCTCTGGGTTTGGGGGTTTAGGGTACCCTAAACCCTACGCCGAATCCATGCAGGTGGAGACATCCGCGAAGACTGGCGAGAATGTGCGACCGCCCCCGCCTTCCTGTCAGATGGTGACTAGTATTCGCTGTGCACCATTTAGCATTATCATTATTATGGTTATCATCGTACATTTTATATATGAGTGTATTGTTATATGAGTATATTATCATATATTATCATATATATATATATATATATATATATATATATATTTATCATGACATTCTGATCAACCTGCGAGCATGTTGCGCTAGACGCATGTTTGCTCAAAGCTTCCACAGCGCTCTGTAAAGTTGCGACAGGTAATTGCCTCGGTTATCAAACGATAATTAAAGCAACTCCCAGCAAGCTCTACGCTAGTTTTTGGAATATTCTTCTTTAGAGCCCATGCCTTGCTTTCTAGCATGACGCGTGCCGCCCTGGCCTTCGTGGGGTGGGTCACCACAGGCACCGTAGGTGGGGTGCTGGCCGTCCGGACCTGCTTGCTGGACCTGCAGGCTGATACATTCACAGACAGCTGCGAGCCTTCGTGGGCAGCTGAGGATGAGGTTGTCGCACAGTGCTTCCGTGAGTGTGCAACTTCCCAGTACCGGCTTCAGGGTGGAATGAATCCCCAAAAGCCCAACATGGCGATAGCAGAGCCCCAAACTACAAAATGTTCCAACCAACAGCGGCCCATGGCATGCCCTTCATTCCATCTTACATGCGTCAAGCCCATTGATGATTCCAACGCTTTCCCGAATGCCTGCAGTGGCAAGACCAGCTTGAGCGAGTTTCCTCTAACGTATGGCGATTATTACGTGGCTTTCTACTCCTTCGGCACAGCAAGTGAAGATGGCGAGACCAAGCCCAAAATCGTGACGAGGATTGTGGCTGGTGGAGAAATCTGTTCTGGCACGTACGTGATTTCCGATGGTGGCATATGCCTTGGAACTTATCGTGCTGCCATGGTTCATATGGGCCCGCCGGTGGCTCCGCCCCAGCCACCCGCAATCCATGGGATGCCCATACCATTCCCGGAGCTGGATTCCAATGGGGAACTACCCACAACCAGCACCACTACGACCACGACCACCACTACGACGGCAAGCACGACCGAAACCACCTCAACTGCTGAAACGACGTCCACCACAGCATCGCCCAAGAAGCCTAAAGGCAGCTCCTGGCTTCTTTTAAGGAGTCTGTTTCAAGTTACCAGAGTACGGAAACCAATAGATCATGCATAGAAAGATAACTTCCTGAACAAGAACCTAGGTTTTTCTGGTGCGGGATCCATCATCTTCGGGATCCTTCTGGTGCTCCTTCTCTTCGCGGCGGGCATCTTTTTCTTCCTTCGCCAGCACCGGCGTGGCGATGAAGGGCGAAGCCTGGCGACCTCCCAGGAGATGGAGATGCGCACCCCCAGTCGACAGTAAAGCTGGGCGATGAAGGCCATGTTCGGTACACGGTTTAGGGCATTTTCGGCTGAGGGTTTAAGGTGAAAGCCCTGTAAGGGCAGGTTGTCGTGGAGACGCACCTCGCGAAGAATTGCTTGTAAAACGGCTGTTTCTTGCGGCTTCTGTTTCAGTTCTGGCTTGAATTTAGCGGCCGGAACTTCTCCAGGCCTGAACCGTGAACTCTTGCAACATTAGTCCTACCCATTTAGGAACCTGCAACCCAGAACCCCGCTGACAGATCGTGTGTCCATTCCGACTATCGGAAAGTATCGAGAAGCGCAGACAAAATTAACAGCCGGTCCGCCGAGGGCCCATGAGGCCCACAATTTTTCCGGTGGCAAGCTTGTACTTTCTTGTGTTCTTCCTGAGGTCACAGGACAACTAATTGAGTAACGGAGGCGGAGCACCTCAGCCAAAGAACAGCAATATGTGAACCCCGCAGAAGAACGATGAAGGCACAGATATCGTTGCTGATCTGTAGCCCGGGCCTCACCAATGTATGGCTCAGGAAAGTCACGCCACCATGAGGAGAGCCATGCGTGTTGAACGTTTAGAATTGAAGCGTTATTGACTGAGGGTTTTAGGTCGGTCAAGATCTTCAGAGCGGCCAGGGCGCCGAGCCGTTTGCGAGGTTACACGGCGCACCTTGTTAGCGCCGGGAAGCATGTGAGCATGTCATGAAGTATCAGACCCTCATACAGCATCAGTACCCTTATGGGAAGCCCACGCCATGTTGCAAGGCATGCTAGCGTTCAAGAAAGCCGCAGAGAGTCACAATTCGGCTTCGCATGCTTCCTTGCTTCTGAGAGCCGAACCACCATGATGGTGGATGCCACGGCCTCAATTCTTAGGCGGCATGGGAAGAAGACTTGGAATTTCTGGAGCGTAGGATTTCGGAGGTAGGATTGAAGATTGAGTGTTCAGGATTGGAGTATGAATGGTGTCCCGAGCGAGGTCGTTCAAACATCGGAGGCTTGAAAGTTTTTAGGTTGAAGCTTGAAAGTTTCAATCTGTGAAGGTTCGAAAAAGTGCTGGAGTTCTAAAGTTTGTGCACCTTGGTATGCACAGGCTAGCCGGCGTCAAACTTCGAAATTTTCCACTCGAAAATTTCAAGCCTTCAATCTCTCTAACTCTCGAACTTTCGAGCTCGACTGGCTGCTTCAAAAAGCGTTTGCCGCGGTCGAGTTCGATCGGCCTTCGAAGTTTCAGAGTTTGAAGGTTTGCACTTTCGAAGGTTCGACGGTTTCAAACTTTGACAGTTCGAAAGTTCGATTGATTGAATAGAAAGTTCGAAAGTTTGCAGTTTGAAAGGTTGGCTTCAGATTCGATCTGCGGCTTGTGGCTGAGGTCGCGAGTTTGAGAGTTCGAGACTTTCAAACATCGAGAGGTTTCAAGTTCGAAGGTTTGAAAGTTTCAGTGATCGAAAGTTTGAAAGGGATGAAAGTTCGCGAGTTTGAGAGTTCGAAAGATTGGAAGTTTGCAAAGTTTGAAGGATTGAAACGCGTCGAGATGGAAAGATCGAAAGTCCGCTGAGTTTCGAGCTCCAAAAATTGAGAGGTTGAAAGTTTGAAAGTAGGAGATTGAAAAGTTGCAGAGTCCGAAGGGCCCGACATGCGGTCAACTGTATGGATGTTGTTCGCAAGCTCAATTATGTATCTTAAACGTGCCTTCTCTTTTGGCGATTCCGGTTTACCGTATATCTTAAGCATCCACCCTCACCATATATCTTAATCCCCATTTGGCGATTCCGGCACATCGTATATCTTAAGCACACCCCTTCAGTTGGCGATCTTAAGCACACCCCCTCATTTAGCGTTTCCGGTTCATCGTACTACGCTTCCTCATTTGCCCCTTTCGGTTACTTATATCCTAAATGCTCCTTCTCTTTTGGCGCGGTTCACCGTATATTTCAAGCACGCCCCCTCATTTGGTGATTTCGGTTCATCACATGTATCTTAGACACGCACCGTCATTTGGCGGTTCCGAACATCTTACCGGCTTGCCATATATCTATCAAGCACGCCTCCTCATTTGGCGATGCCGGCTCAGCAGGCAGTAGTAGTAGTAGTAGTAGTAGTACTAGTACTAGTACTAGTACTAGTAGTAGTAGTAGTAGTACTAGTAGTAGTAGTAGTAGTAGTAGCAGCAGCAGCAGCAGCAGTAGTAGTAGTAGTAGTAGTAGAAGTAGTAGTAGTAGTAGTAGTAGTAGTAGTAGTAGTAGTAGTAGTAGTAGTAGTAGTAGTAGTAGTAGGCACCCCCCTACCAACTACACTTGCTCTTAACCATGTCAAGACAATATCCATTTCACTCGGCATTTACGGCACTTTCGTCATGTGTGATCATCATAAAAGGTCTCAAAATCGACTTGTCGAGTTTGCAAACTCGGGCTCTTGATTTTGGACTTGCTTCTGGGGGTGGGTGGGGGGGTGCGGGGGGATGATGACGACATTGTTACGCTAACACACCCAACACTGTAACTCGGTATTTACGGTACTTTCGTGATATCAGACTTTGTTACATATTATGAGCCCCTACTTCTCGACTATGCGTATTAAACTTTGCTGTGTCGAATTGTTTGCAAAAAAATCGAAATTGGTTGGGGGAAAGCTTCTTGGGGGATGATCACGACACTGTTTTGCGGACACCCTGGACAATATTTCCACACTCAAGCGCCCACACACCACACACACCATTTCAAAAAACAGACCCTAGGTCGATCGGTAGGGGTGTTGGCAAGCCCCTCCCACGTACTGCTGGCATCTTTCTTTTTGATGTTTAGAAGATGTTGCGCTTCAGGTTTTAGAAATGTTAAACCCTTCTTGACAGCACCTGCGTTTGGCACAGTATTTACAGCGTTTTGGTACTATCCGACCACCTGCGGTTTAGCAGTTTCTTCCCCGTCGAGCTTGCAACTCCAGCTGCTGTCACAGGTTTAGGGCCTGAGCCCCTGCAACTTCACCGGCTGTGACAGTTAAGGAAACTGAGCCTCTGCAACTTCTGCAGCTGTCACATATAGGGAGCCTGAGCCCGTGCATCTTCTGCAACTGGCACAGCTAAGGCGCCTAGCAGCTACCGCTGCCCAGCCCGGATGGAACAAGTGTAGCTGGGAGGGGGGGGTGGCTAGTAGTAGTAGTAGTAGTAGTAGTAGTAGTAGTAGTAGTAGTAGTAGTAGTAGTGGTAGTAGTGGTAGTAGTGGTAGTAGTGGTAGTAGTGGTAGTAGTGGTAGTAGTGGTAGTAGTGGTAGTAGTGGTAGTAGTGGTGGTGGTAGTAAGCTAGAAGTCTGAAGTAGTAGTAGTCCGATCTGGCATCGGCGTGTGTTAGTTGTGAGATCACACATCAGTGAGGGTGCGATTTGTTACGGGCATCGGCATGTCTGTTGTGAGATCACACATCACAGGCGGCATCGGCGTGTGTATGTTGTGAGCACATGACGGGGGGTACGATTTGTTACGAGCATCGGCTTGTGCATGAGCATTTGGTGTTACCGTGTTACCGGGCCCAGGCCCTAAAATGACGACGTCAATATGGTTTCAATCTCCAACTTTCAATGCATTCAATCTTCAAACTCTTCCAAGTTGCAAACCTTCAAACTCCCAAACTCTCAACCTTTGAACATCTCAATCATTCGAACTCCACGTCTCTCAAATTTTCAAACTTTCGATTATTGAAAAATTCAATCTTTTGACCCCCAAGGGTTTGAAATTTTTCGAACTTTCAAACTCTGAGGCTATCGAACTTTCAAGCTCCCTGGGTTTCAAACTTTCGAACTCGAGCCTGAGGGCTGCTCTGTGAGCCCCTGCGCGTTCTCCAGCGGTCCTTCGCCTTGCTCCCTCGCGCAACGCGAGTTGCCGCGGCTTCAAACTTCCAAGCTGGATCCCCATGCAGGCTTTCAAACTCCAAACTCGCGCCCATTTTCGAACTCGAAACTCTCAAGCTTTCAATCTTCAAACTCTTCATTCTCCAAACTTTTGAAATTTTCAATCTCTCCAATATCGTCCAAAATTTAATACGTTCAAACTCTCAAAGTTTCGAGTTCGAAAACCCCCACTCGTGACACCTATCTTGGAGTATCAACTTCAGTGTCGTTGAATGGAGTTTGCGCTTGCTCCAGCTCTGCACCAAGCCCAAAATTCCAAACCCCGAGCCCGAAAACACTTCGAACAAACTTGAGACCCTTACCCCGGAGAAGAGATCCATACAGTTCCGGTGGTCATTTACCCTTGCAATCTCGGGTCTTTGCTGTGGCCTCTCATTTTCTCAAACTCCCAGGTGACAGTTCCGAAGCCGCCCACAGCCCATAAGATCCCCATCTAAAACCGTAGTAAAGCCCTTCTACAGGCCCTATAAAATGTTAGAATGCCTCTAGATGAGAAACTAAACTCTAAACCCTAAGGCGTCAACCCAAGACCCTAAAGCCTTACACCCTGGAGCCTACGACCCGAAAGACCCCAAACCCTCAAGCCCTAAACCCTAAAATCCTAAAGCCCCAAACCCTAAACCCTGAAGACCTTAAACCACTAAAACCTAAAGACCCTAAACCACCAAAACCTAAAGCCCTAAAGCAGCCGCTTAAACCCTAAAGCCCTAAACCCTAAAACCCTAAAGCCCTAAAGCCCTAAAGCCCTAAACCCTAAACCCTAAACCTCCCACAGCCCCAAACCCTAGAACCCCAAATCCCTCAAGCCCGATCCTAAAAGCGATCCGAGGAGCTCCAGGCGAGTTTCAAGGCAGCCGAGGAGATCTTGGAGCAAAAGCGCCGGCAGGTGCGAGAATGAGGGTTTCGGGTTTTAGGGCTTAGGGTTTAGGTTTAGGTAGGATTTTAGGGTTTAAGGTTTGAGGGCTCTAGGGCTTTAGGGTTTTAGGGTTTTGGGTTTAAGGGAGGATGAGCCTTTCTTCCTTGCGGGTTTTTAGTGCTTAGCGCTTTTAGGGGTTTTAGGTTCAGGGTTTCCACGTTTCTGAAGGGGGTTCCTTAAGCAAGA